GTAAACTGGGCTTACAATAAAAATGTTTTGTAGTTTTAACTACAGGGATATTTTTATATAAAATAATAATAAAACACTGCACAAAAATTTTATAGACAGTGATTTTGGTGTCACCCTCTCTAACAGTATCACCTAGTGCAGTCCGCACCTCCCACACTACCCTAGTGGGGCCACAGTCCTGAGCTGTCACTGTATCACCACACAAGAGCTAGGGCTGATTGTCCCCATTTTACAGAGGGAAAGGAAGAGAAGTTAAGTTGTTACTCCAGGTCACACAGTCAATGAGTGATAGAGCAGGACTGGGATCAAAGACAGACTTGAGGTGTGGAGAGCTGAGGAGTAGGGGCTGTAGCTAGGGGTGAAGGAGGTGGCACACGTTTCCTTCTCAGTGACAATGTCAGTCTGGAATCTAAGGCTACATCTGAAGAGCCTCCCTGCCTAGTCTCATTGTTCCTGAGGCAGACAAGAGTTGCTCCTCATCTATATCCTTCCAGCTACCCTATGCTGGAAAGAGTTGGCTCTGGCTCAGGCCCATTCCTGATCAATCCTCAAGGTGATCCGGGAACGAATGAGGTCCTGAAAAAGGAAGGAAGCTTCGTTCCTCAGACTAGCCGCCACCCCACCCCCACCCACCCTCCGGCTGTAGGGCCGGAAGGAGCCACTTTAAGGTTCTCCCTTGGGACCCATGTCCAGGAAGAGAGATGATCCGGTTCACAACAAGTGTGGCAGTGAGGTAGGGAACCCTCTAACTCTTTCTGGGCCCCTCACCAGAAAGTCTTTCCTGTCTGACCTCTCCTTTGTGTGCCCGAGGCTCTGTACTACCTCCTTTGGGACAGGGAGCTTGCTGTCACTCCCCTCAGACTGGGGACTCCTGGAAGTAGCCTGTGGCACACACACACACATACAGTCTGGAGATTCCTAAGGGAGAGCTATGCTACTCCCCTCTAATTGGGGGGAGGGGGGGAGGTCCCAAAGCTAAGGCTGTGTCTTATCCATTTGATTGAGGTGGGTGGCATCACTTCTGCTTGGGGACTCCTGAGTTTAGGACAGAGTTTGAAATCCCCCTCCTCAGACCAGGGGCTGCCCTGGATAGCACCTGCATTGCAGGGTTCCCTGAATCCCCTTTCCATGTCCTCAAGCATCTGTCCTCAAGCAGGGAGTCGGGCCCCTGCCTGCCTTTTCATCCTACCCAAATGCTCCTTTAAGACCAAAGGGATGGGGGTTAGTTACATCAGGAGTCAGACACCACAGCCCCATCCTCCCCCTTCCCAGGCCAGGTTTCCTGCCATTGACAGCATCCCAGCTGAGCCCAGCCCAACCTCCCAGTGCTTAACCCCTTCTTGTCCAGATCTCAGAGCTACCAGCCTATACCCCCAACCTTACATATTCTTTGATTGTTGTGAAGATCAATATGTTAGTCAATGTATAAAGGACTTAGAAGAACATCTAGCATAGAGTAAACTTTCAATAAAAGTTAGCTAATATTCTTAATTGTATGAGCTTGGATAAGTCATTTCATCTCTCAGCTTTGGTCTCCTCAGTGGTACAATGGTGAAAATAATAGAACCTACTCCCCAAAGAGGAGTCCTGGTGTGGCACTGTGGGTTAATGTGCTGGACTGCAAAGCCAGTTTGAATGCCAGGTCAGCAGTTCAAGCTCACTGGCCACTCCTCGGAAATCCTAAACAGGGTCTCTATGAGTCGTAACTAACTCCAAGGCACTTAACAAAAACAACAACTTCCCAAAGATTGTCCTGGGATCATGTATATGATGTTGTAAAGTGCTGTGACAAGACAATATGAAATTATTACAGACAAGAACAAAACAATACATAAAGCTTCCTTTAGGCAGTTAAAATTTCTTACCAGAAGATTCTTGGGCCTTCTTGGGTTTTTCGGACTCATTATCTTATTTAACAGGTGCAGTGGAAGAGTGGACTTAGAGCTGGACTTTTTACAAGTCTTCTTCCGACTCCCATATTTTTTTACTCATCAAGTGGGACTTCCGGCCCCCCGTGTCTCTGTGTTGGGTGCTTGGGAGAGTCAAAGGAGGTCAGAGAACACAGATGTGAAAGCGTTTTGCAAACCTTAGGAAGTGGTGGAAGGGAGGGGAAGGCGGTTATGGAGAGTGGGCAGGAATCTCTGTGGTAGGAGCCCTGGTCTTGGAGCTCTGGATGCTGGAGAGGTTATTGCAAGAGGAAAGGAGCTTCCTTAGTACCAGCACTGTGGGGGCAGGGCTGGACCTTGAGAGATGAGGTGTCAGTTAAGCAACTGTGCCAGCTCTGATGTCCCCAAGTGGGGGTAGAGAAGCAAGAGGTCAAAAGGACGTAGGCTTAGCCCTAGAGTCAACTCCTCTTCACCCTCTTCCCAGTCAAGCCCAATTTGGTATCAAAGACCTTGGGCAGCAACAGTTCCAATAGGCTCCTGGGTGACGTTTGTGGCAGGACTTGCTAGGACAGGTTTACCCTGCACATCTGCAGCCTTCCTGGCCCCACCCAGGAGAGAGCAGGCTTGTATCATCCATACACCGGACTAGGACAAATCTGAACCTGCTACTGGGGAGGAACAGCATGGCAACATAATGCTGCTCTGCCTTCCCAGTCAAATTGTAGAAGCATCTGCCAGGGTGGGCCTAGCAGGTTGATCTGGGTCTTTGGAGGAAGTCTGGGAATCAGAAGACTCTGTTTAGGGTCCTAGCTGTGCCCCCAAGAACCCTGTGCCTCATGGCAAATCATTTTTGTCAGAGCTGGTTTGATCATCTGTAAACTAAAGGAGTTGGACCTGGTCCCCAGATGCTTTCCAGCTCTGAGAGACTATGATCAGGAAGGAGTTAACAGAGGCCAGGCTCTGGGTCAGGAAGGCGAGGGTTAATCTGGGGGGAGGTGGAGGCTGTCTGCTTTTCCTGTGGAGAGTGACGTTTGGCTGCCACCAAAGTTACTTCCAGTCCCTGCTGCCCCTCCTGCCCTCAGTTAGGATCTGCCTGGGAACTCCTGCAATTCTGCCTCCCTACCCAGAGGTGAGTGCATGCTGAGCCCAGGGCTAGGGTGGGAGAGGACCTAGAGCAAACTGGCTGACACCAAGTCAGTGATCACAAAAGTTGCCCAGCTGAAGACTTGGGCAACATTCTAACCACTAACTCCCAAACTGGGAGAAAATAGGCAACGAGATGGAGGGCAAAGAAGGGTTCTGCAGGTTCTAGGGTAGAATATCTGTGGTTGGGCATTCAAGCCAACTCAGAAAGCCAGGAAGAAGCTGTGGATGAGAGACTATTTTGATCCCTGTGTTTAGGGGTTTTTTTATAGCCTGGTGGCTCAGGGCTGGGGAGCAGAAGGGATCAAGGATGTCTCTGAGTCAGATAAGCGTAGTGCCCTCCTGGGACTTTGGAGTCTGATCCCACTGCCCCGTATAGTCCTGGGGAGACAGTCAAGGGAGTACTGCCAGGCACCCCTTCCTTGATAACTGGGTTCCTAGTCACTATCTATGGCTGCGGTAGTGAGGTTGGCCCAGGATCAGACATTGTTTCGTCCTGCTGTGCATGGGGTCGCTATGAGTCGCTATGAGTCGGTTCCGATCGATGGCACCTAACAATAACAACCTATGGGACCAACTAGGTAAGAAAGAGGAATCCTTGAGTGGCATAAAAGGTTAAGCACTAACTGGAAGCTGAAAGGTCGATAGTTGCAATCCATCCAGAAGCATCTAAGAAGGAGACCAGCCTGGAGATGTGCTTCGGAAAGGTCCTTATTCTACTCTGCACACATGGGGTCTCTGTGAGTCGGAATCCACTTGATGGCACCTACTCAGCTGAGCAGGTTGTGCTACAATGGGAGCAGGGAAGGCAGATTTCTCCTCCTAAGCCTCCTACCTGGGATTCCCTCCCCACATCCCTGACGGGTACAGTTCTTTTGTTGCCTCCAGATACAAGGTTCCCTCAGTCTCCTAGGACCGATGAGTTCCTCTCATTTGGACCCTGGGTGCAAGGGGGTAGATCTTGAGCCATGTGGGTGGCCCATTCGAGTACAGCCAATGGACCTGTCAGCTCTTGATTTACAGCCCCTGCTGGCCCCTTCCCTAGCAGAAGGGAGGTGGAGGAGTGTCACAGGGTCTCAGAATGAGAAGGGGGCAGGGACCCTGAGGCAGATATCTGGGAATACAGATTATTGAGTTGAATTAGTAGAATAAACTTTTTAGTGAGGCAAAGGGCCCATTTCTATTGGAAACTGTTTGGTAGTTACAGCAGCAGGAATAGAAGCAAAATATGAAGGAAGAGCTGAGAGGCAAGGAAGAGCCCAAACAGCAAGTTCTGGACTGCAAGGGAAGAGAGCTGACTCTCACTCCCACCAGAGCAAGTCACCTCCTCTCTGGGTTAATTTCCCCTTCTGTGAAATGGAAATACAGAGGTTAGACTGGTGATGATTACAGCTGAGCCTGGTAAAGACACACAGTGAGTGGGAGGGCAGCTGATGTGACCTGGTGACCACCTCCCTCTCCTTTCAAAGTGGCCCTGCCAGGCCTGGGCAGGGCAGTTGGCTGCAATTACTGGAGGCTCCTACCCTGTGGTTATATTCCTGACCCCGGTGCTTAGGGGCGGGAAGGGTGGGCCCTGCTGGAGCCAGTCTGTGGCTAGGGAGTCTCCTTGTCTTGGACTCAAAGCTGCTGGACTGGGAAGAGGTATTTTTTCCGGTTCAGGCCACTTTCGGGAATGGGGCTGGGACTAGCCCCACTTCCTTTTCCAAGTGTCCTGCTTGCCGATGCCTTCTTGGCATGGGCCCTTTGGCCAAATTGGGGCACCCTCAAAGAGGTACATGTTTCTTAGTGGCCTGGGAGGTTCCACTGAATTGCTCTGAGGAAGGGATGGGGGAATGGCCTGAGTCTCTGCTCCCTGGTAACCAACCTACTAGTATAAGGGAAGGGGCTAGCTGATCCTATCCCCAGGAAGGCCAGCCAGCAATGGGCAGAGATATCTCCTACTCTCTCCCAATCATTCCTCTCTCCCTGCAGGCCCCAGAGAACCCTCCCCCAAATTGCGCTCAGCTCCGCAGTCAGCTGCCTACCTCCAGTGGCTTATGGGGCACTGTCTATCCCAGCTCTTCTAAGATGCTCCTGGCCTCTCCCTCCACTCAGTCCAGGGGACGGACCCCCAGCGCTGTGGAGAGGCTAGAGGCGGACAAAGCCAAGTATGTCAAGACGCATCAAGTGATTGCTCGGCGGCAAGAGCCAGCCCTCCGTGGGGCACCTGGGCCGCTCACCCCTCACCCCTGCAATGAGCTGGGATCCCCTGCATCGCCCAGAACGCCCAAAACCACACGCCGGGGCAGCGGGAGGCGACTGCCAAGGCCTGACTCCCTCGTATTCTACCGCCAGAAACGAGATTGCAAGGCATCAGTGAACAAAGAGAACGCCAAGGGCCAGGGACTGGTGAGACGCCTCTTCCTGGGTACCTCCCATGACGCCACTTCTAGCAGCCCGGGCACAGCGGAGCGACCTGCGACTCCTGGGAGTTGGACCGCGCAGCCCAGAGATGTCCCAGAAGCAACGGGAAAGCAAGCGCTGTGCCCCACGTGCTCTCTGCCCTTGTCGGAGAAGGAGCGTTTCTTCAACTACTGCGGCCTGGAGCGCGCGCTGGTGGAGGTGCTAGGTGTTGAGCGTTTCTCCCCGCAGAGCTGGGGCGCCGAGGCCAGCCCCCAGCCCGAAATAGCGCCGCCTCCCGGCTCCGGGAACACCAGCGACTGGGCTTCCAGCGACAGCAGCGAAGATCCAGACTGTGCAGACTGCGGCGGCGCTGAGGCGGCGGACTCAGCGCGGGACGGGCGCCCCCAGGTGTCGGTGGTGGAGCGCAACGCGCGCGTCATCCAATGGTTGTACCGCTGCCAGCGCGCCCGAGGCCCACCGCGCGAGTCAGAGGTGTGACCTGCGACCACGCGTAAGCAGGCGCTCACGGAGCCGGGGCTGGACCCGGGCACAGTCAGGGACGTCCTGCCTTTGACGCACAGGAGACCTTTGGAAAAACCTTTCCCTTTGGGTCTCCATGTTCCCTTCAGGACCATAGTGAGATGAACAAAATGATCCTGAAGGCCCTTCTCTGAGCAGGTGGTGCAAGGGGAGGGGAAGGCTGCTTGGCTTCTGGGAATTCATGACTAGGATGGAAGATCAAAGAATCTGCTGAATAAAGTTAAAATGTTATTTTAAGTGGGTCCTGTGGTTGGATTAAGGAGCAGATGGTGAGAAGGGGGATGTTGTTGTTAAGTGCCATGGAGTCAGTTCCGACTCATAGTACCCTGCACAGGGTTTCCGAGGCTGTAAATCTTTACAGGAGCAGAACGCCTCATCTTTCTCCCGCGGAACCGCTGGTAGTTTTGAACTGCTGACCTTGCGGTTCACAGTCCGATTTGTAACCACTACGCTACTAGAGCTCCTTGAGAAAGGGGATAGGGCAGGCTTAAGCGGTTAAACGGGTGAGTTTTGAAGTATGCCTTCTCTATTGACAGTAAAGTACATATTTTGAAATAAAATGGGCTCATGGTGTGGCACTTAAGATAAGCACTGGACTGCAAACCATAAGGTAGGCGGTTCAAACCCACCAGCTGCTCCACGGAAAATCTTATACAGGGTCGCTATGGGTCGGCATCGACTCTTCGGCATTTTAACAATTTTGAAATTATTGTAAAGTATACTGCGTAGTGGTTACGAATTGGGCTGCTAACCTCAGGGTCAGCAGTTCAAAACTACCAGCTGTTCCGCAGGAGAAAGATGAGGCTTTCTACTCCCGTAAAGATTTACAGCCTCGGAAACCCTGTACAGGGTCACTATGGGTCAGAAGCGACTCCACGGCACATAACAACAACATACTGCAAAACTAAAAAATCAGTACCACTACTGATGATCTACGAATCGGGCTGCGAACCGCAAGGTCAGCAGTTAGAAACTACCAGCTGTTCGGCGGGAGAAAGATGAGGCATTCCGCTCCCGTAAAGATTTAAAGCCTCGGAAACCTGTACAGGGACGCTATGGGTCGGAACTGACTTGGCTGCATTTAACAACAGGCTCACTCATCCTCTGCCTCCCTTTCTCACAAGCATACACAAGGTCATCTATTTTCCTCACACGTTCGTTCTCAACTCTCAGTTCTTCCTTTGCTTGGGTTACCTTTTCCTTCCTGTCAATTTGTCCTTTTAAAATGAAGTATTTCCCAATTCCCCAGCCCACTTCACCTCCTCTGTGTCTAGAGTTGTTATGTGCCATGGTTGTTAAAGTAAAAGAATCTGTACAGGACCATGGAACCCATCCTAAGGGCTCCCCAGCTACCTGGAAAGTTGTACCTTAAATCTGGCCATTCATTTTTTGCCTGTTACCAGTGGTTAGGAGTCCTGGTGTGGCACTAGACCACAGGTTGGCTTGAACTACAAGGTGGACAGTTCAAGTCACTAGCCATTCCTCAAAAACTTGCTATGAGTGGAAACAGACTGTGGCACTTAACAACATCAGTGGTTAGGGAGCACAGTGGCTCCATATGATAAACTTCACAAGGTCTGAGGTAGAGTCCTCCAACCGCTCTGCAAGAGAAAGATGAGGTTTCTGCTCCCGCAAAGATTTAAAAAGCCTCGGAAACAGTGTCACCATGAGCTGACTGCACTTAACAACATCAGTGTTAACCACTGGGCTGCTAAGCGAAAGGTCAGCGGTTCAAACTCACCCCAGCAGACTGATGTGGCAGTCTGCTTCTATTGTTGTTAAGTAATCTCCAGTCAGTTCCAACTCCAGAAATCTGTCTGTATAGGGTTTCCAGGGAGTGGCTATTTCACTGCTAACCTTGCAATTAACAGTCCAGTGCTTATCCTACAGCGTCACACCAGAACTTGGATAAATTACAGTGGAAACCTCCGGAGCAGTTCTATGACCTATAGGGTCGCTATGAGTTGAATCTGAAGGAAAATGGGATGTTTGTGGGGCAAAGTGAGGACCCCTCTGACTGGACCCCGTCTGGGGGCCTCTCCATCCAAAATCAGCCTTCCCTAAGGTTTAAAAAAAAAGGTCAGCTACACTGGAAGTCTGGTCAGAGGCTTTTATTGGGGTTGGGAGGAGCAGGCGCCCAGTTCCACCGGCTAGTCGCCCTTGGGCACAGCCTTCACCCTCATTTCGGCCAGTTTGTGGGTGAGGAAGCCCCACTTGAAGCCGGCCGCAGGGTCGCCCTCCCGAGGCTCCCGGCTCTTGGCGGCTTCCTCCACGGCCTCATCCCCGGGTTTGGGGTCCAGCTCCTGGGTGGGCTCTGCACTGCGCAGCATAGACGCTGCAACCGCCTGCTGCTGCTGCCACCTGCTGGCGAAGGCGTCCCAGAAGCTGGGTCCGCGCGGTTCTGTCTCAGCTGCTGCTTGAGATGGGGTTCGCACTGCCAGGGGGCTGCATGAGAGATGCCGGTCAGGAGACAAATGGGAAGGGAAATAACGAGCGGAGGCAGGGTCAAGGAACATGAAATGGGGACGGGGGGAGGGGACTGGAGTGAAGAGCGGGGTCATGTGACTGGAGGAGTTCAGCAGAGAGGGGACAAGGTCAAGGCCTGGAGGCTAGGAGTGGGCTCAGAACACTGGGAACGGATCAGGGTGGAATAGGATCAAGGGATTAAGCAAGAGGCCTGGGGAGACGGAACCAGAGTCAGGATTCCTGAGGAGAGACAAAGGTTAGAGGTTTGGGGAAGGGCTTGGAAAAGAAGATAAAGGAACCAGGGTGGGGAAGTGGGGAGAATAAGCCTGAGAGTAGCCGGACCCAAGACGCGAGAGAGAAGTGCGGCTGAACGACTTGGATGGGGAAGGGGGCGTGGAATCCACTGAGGGGATGGGATCAGAGTCTAGAGGTGGGACACCGGGGCAAGGGGTGGGACTGGGGAGGAATACAGTTCGAAGACTAAGGAAAAGCCGGGATAAGAAAGGGAGAGAATGCTGAGGAGAAAGAACCACCTTGAGGGAAGAAAAACCTAGCTCAGAGGTTTGGGGGTGAGAGGGACTCCGGGAGCTAGCAGGAAAATGGAAGTGGAAAATCAATCAAGGAGGGGCGATGTGGCTTGAGGTGGGAATATTCAGGTCTGGGGAAGAGTCTTGGAGAATTGGGAGGGAGAGGGGCTGAATGTAGGGGAGGAAGAAAGGAAACCCTGGAATAGGAGAGATGGATGAAGCAGAAAGGCAGAGATGGAGTGTGTACCAGGGACCGAGGCCCTTGTCTCGATTCCAGCATCGAAGACCTTCTAAAACATGGTTTTCAAACTGTATATTTTAGGATCCTCAGCGAATTTACTGAAAAGAAAGATCCATGGACCTCAGTCCACCCCTGCTGAATCAGAATCTCTGAAGAGGTCCTGGGGAATTTGTATTTGTCACAGCTCTCTCTGGGTGGATGAGGATTAGACCAACATCTGGAGACCACTGTTATGAACCACATTCTGTTCCAAACACCTAAATTTCTCTATGTTCTGAGATTCTAGGGAGGTGGAGAGAGTGCTCATCAATACCTTCTAATACCCCAATCCCAGGAAGTCCTGGTGTGGTGCTGCAGGATAATGCACTGGACTGCAAGATTCTTTGAACTGCAAAGCTGGCTGTTCAGACTCACCAGCGGCTTCTCAGAAACCCTGTACAGGGTCACTATGAGTCGGAACAACAACCCCCAATCCCAACAGCTGGGAAGTTCTTCCTAAAATCTAACTTCCCAAATTTGCTGATTTGGCCTTTTTTGTGTTTAAAGAAAGGCAAACCATCAGGGATTGCCCCCAAGCCCTCTGTGGTCAGTAAAACAAATGAGATGAAAAAGGCATGGGAGATAGAGGACCCTAAGCCCTTCCAAAAGTCCTCCCCGCCCCTCCAACACACACACATACTGATCTGCACAGGGCTCCGGTGGCAGCAGTTTGTCCTCATCTTCTTTGTTAAACAGAGATGACATTGTCAGCCAACCTTTCACTCCAACTCCCTGAACCTGGGAGGGAGTGGCTGAGAATCAGGGAAAGGTCCAGCACAACCGCCCAGGACTCCACAGCAGCCTCCTCCAGGCTCTCCAGGGGCAGGAGAAGGAGCAGGTTGGGCATCAATGATGGGAGAACTCACCCGGCGGGCTAGTTGTGACATGGGATTGAAGTCCTCTTCAGCTGCTTCTGCCATCTCAGGCTCCATCAACACTGGGGTCTCCCTCTGGGACACAAGACCCCCACCCAGTATGAGAGGTCCCAGAGGAATGCTCGCATAAGCCTGGCATACAGAAACCAGGCACTACAAACTCCACAGAACTAAGTACACCTCATACCTCCTACAAGGGCACATGGGAATGTACCAAGGTATATCACTACAAAGAGTTACCAACTACATACACATACCTGTATAGCATGACACCCTTGTGAAGGCATACCTGTACCCCTATCCTCAGGTGCACAGACTCCTCCATACACAAGGGTATGCAAGCTCACATAGACACACACACATATACATAAGCATGCCTCTGGGTGGCTACTATTCCTCACGTGCACATGGTTATATTATTCATACACACTTGGCTCCTTATACACTTACACAACTACAGACAGCTTCACAGAGACCCACCCACAGCACACAAAACCTCTCCACCCACCCACCCAGGACACAGATGCACCCAAACATACACAACACGCAATATCTGAAATGCCTACACAGAAACATGCAGGCATAGACTACTGCCCCAAATGCATACATCTAAAAATACCTGCACCCAATTCACACCTATGGAGCCCTTGTGTGGCGCTGTGGGTTAATGCACCAGACTGCAAAGCCATTTGAACTGCAAAGTGGGTGGTTCAAGCTCACCAGCTCTTCCTCAGAAACCGTATACAGGGTCACTATGGGTCGGAACCTCTCGACGGCCTTTAACAACAACAACAGTTCACACCTGCACACACCCTTCACTGGGGATTCCACACAAGTGAGGCACCAGTGCCTAGACAGGCTCAGCCTTTAACACCAAACTGTCTAGCCATTTCACACACACACACACACACACACACATATCCAGGAATGGTTCCTATCCCTGCTATATTTATTTGCACAACTACCACCTACCACAGCCTCTAGATGTAAGATGGTTCCCAGTTTCAAAGCCTTGTTTGATCTTCTTATGTCAGAATACAGCATGGTCCACATATCACTCTGATCTGATGCTGTTTCCATGATCCTCAGAGTATAAGCACTGCTTCCTCCTACCTCCAGTAATAAAGGGATCACTAAGGAGCTCTGGTAGTGTAGTGGTTACGAATTGGGCTGTGTACCTCAGGGTCAGCTGTTCGAAACTACCAGCGATTCCGCTGGAGAAAGATGAGGCGTTCTGCTCCCGTAAAGATTTATAGCCTCGGAAACCCTGTGCAGGGTCGCTATGAGTCGGAACCGACTCCACGGCACATAAAACAACAATCTGTGCCAAGAAAGCCATGTCACTTTTGCTCAGCTCTGCCCATTAGATACTTGTATCAAACTGATGTGTACCCTGTGGCAACTACCTATAGATCCTAGAAAAATCTCTCCCATGTGCAGCCCTTGAGATCTTTGGAGACCACTCCTCCCATGTCCTCCTAGTCTACTCTTCCTCAGTTTTCTTGGATAGCCTAGCTTTCTGATACTGCACCATGCCATCCCCCGAGTATGCCAATGGCTTCTGTACAATTGTGCCTCTCACCAAGAGTCCCCATGTGCCAAAAAGCAGGCATGATGTAACCCACCTCCTCTGCCAGGTCCTCCTCAGATTCCCCACTCAGGGTCTGCAGTACTTTGGACTTGTAGGTTTTCCAGAAGGCCTGGTTCATGGCTGCAGAGAAAACAGACCTAGCGCCCATGCACAGGAAGGCGGTGGCTCAGTGGGCACCCAGTGACTGGCTCTAGGAACTTGGTGAGCCCAAGAAACTGTCCCAGGGATCAAGTGACTTCATTAAAGATGTACCAGTGTCCCCTGCTGGCACAGTGCCCAACTAGTGAATCTAATCCAATGGGGTGGGGATGAGTGAGGGTTTGTGCCACCTCAGCCCCTTCCTTTGACACATATTGGCCAAGAATATTGAAGTCATAGCTCCCTCCACAGAGCCTTCTTTTCTGGGCCTAGGACTACTTGAAGTTGATTTCTTTAATGGCTCCAGAAAAATCCTTTTTCTATCCATAAAGTATTTGGGTGCAGGGGCCCACATTGCTACCCCTTATGACTTGTGTCCCACACCAGTGATCACCTCAGTGGAACACCCTATGTCCCCACATCCTCAATGAATTGGAGAGGATAGGTACTTAGGTCCCCAGCAGGTGCCCTGGTTTACATTTCATTGCTTTGGGAGTTGGATACTGATTCCCTCTCCCTAGGGATACACGTGCCTGTCTCCTTGTTTCCTGGCAACAGGTTCTAAAGAGCTGGAAGCCCTGAATTATTGCTGAGCTCCTCTGGCCCGGTCCTGTGGAGCTGCCTCTGGCCAGCCTGGGCGGCACCAGGCTCTAAAGAATGGGGCTCTTTGGCCTTCTCGCCACTCTGGGCACGTGACACCTAGCCTGTGTCTCTCCCTTTGTAACCAGTCCACTTCTGGGAGAAAGGAGGCAAAGGTGAGGTGGTGCTTCTCCGAGCACCTCCTTTTCTTGTGAAAGGAGCTAGCCCTCTGTCTCTGGGGCGAAACACCCCTCTCTTATGGATTTGGCTGACAGTGGGTAGAGGGTGGAGCTGGAAGGGGATAACCAGAGTCGTGAGAGGTGGTAAGAGCTTTGTCAAGGACTGGAGGGATCTCAAGAAGCTCTGTTGGGTCGGAATCCAAACATTTACTCTCATTCATTTGTTCATTTTTTCACATCATATATATTTATTAATGCCTCTTCACCGCAGACTCTACCATTTGGGAACCAGCAATGAGTGACAGGGCCAGACGACTGAGATAGGTTGGGCCAGGTAAGGAAGGGTAGAGTAGCCAGCCGACCCACTCAGTTCCAGAGCCACACGCACCCTTCGCTCCTCCGCAACGGTGGTACGCGAAACCTCAAGCAGGTCAGTGAGGACACGTGGTCCGCGCGGCCCGGGGCTTCTTTATCACTGAAGTCCACCACCGCCTGAGGGCGCTCAAGCTGCTGCCTATACAGGAGACGTCATCAGAGGCGGTCTAGGCGATCCTGCTCCACCCCCGGGCGTCGTGTGACGTCATTGAGCGGTCCGGAAGCATCCACACGTGTGTTGCCAGCCTTGCTCCGGGCTCTCTGGCCTGGTTGTACAGAACATGGGTCGTTCCCGCCGGACTGGTGCGCACCGAGCGCACTCTCTGGCCCGCCAGATGAAGGCCAAGCGGCGGCGGCCGGACCTGGATGAGATTCACCGCGAGCTGCGACCCCAGGGTCCTTCACGGCCTGCGACCAACGCGGATGCTGAGCCCGACCCAGACCTGCCAGGAGGGGGCCTGCATCGCTGTCTGGCCTGCGCGTGAGTCTGAGCTGGGTCTGGTCTGGAGAAGAAGAGAGTCTGCGGTGTGGGTCACGGGTTATGAGGTAGGGGCCCTGGGGTGCTTAGGGTCACCTCTCTTGCCCATATCTGATGCCCTGGAGCCTGGTGTCAGGGAAAGAAATAAAGAAACAGGAGTACTTGAAGGGCACTCACTCTTCTCACCTCCAACATCCCTACAGGAGATACTTCATTGATTCCTCCAACCTTAGGACCCACTTTCGATCCAAAGACCACAAGAAAAGGTATGGAGGAATAAGGAAAAGGTTGATGGATGGGTGCTGGCAGGCAGGCCTCGCAGTCTGATCAGCTGCCAACGCCTGACCTCCTTCCTTCCAGGCTGAAGCAGCTGAGCGTGGAGCCTTACAGTCAGGAAGAAGCAGAGAGGGCAGCGGGCATGGGCTCCTATGTGCCTCCCCAGCGATTGCCAGTGCCCACAGAGGTGTCCACTGATGTCCCAGACATGGACACATCTTGTTGACCTTGCTTGAGGATACCACGCGGAGGAGCTGCCATGGACATTGATGCCAGAACTAGGCTTGGAGAGACTGTGCCAACATCTCTTGGCCCTGGGTTTGGGGAGTGAATGACTTCTTGGTGCTTACACCCCAATAAAAGAACTGGACAAAGAGGGGATTGCCTTGACTCTCTAATTTTCAGGCCAGGGCCCCCACCTTCCTCTAAACTTCTGCTCTGTAAGGGTTTCCCTTCTGTATGCAGGGCCCAGACTGTCTACTCCCCACTTGGTCCAGCTTTAGAACTACACACTTGCCTTCCCTCTGGGATCCTGTCATCTGAACTGGAACATACACAGTCCCAACCACAACCCAGGTGAAGTGGGGAGGGAGGAGTAGGGGCAGATTTATTCTGTCCTGTTTCCAGGGAGGGCAGAGACTGATCCTCCAGAATAAAAGGGGGGACTCCTGAGATTGGAATCCCTTCCTTGGGTCACCTGCCCTGGCCCCTGGAGGAGAGGCTGTGTACTTTATCATGGAGCCCGTGGTGGCTGTCTCTGTCCCACCATCTTCCAGACAGCATAGCAGGAACCACCCAGCCCAAGCACAGTCAGCAGCGTGGCCACAACCCCAGCCAATGGACTACAGGGCTGTGTCTTCAGCTCCCCGCTTACCTGCATCTAGGAGTGTACAAAGGGTATGCTTAGGGGTTGGTTGAGACTTCTGGGAAGGTGGAGAGGAAGGAAAGAGCTGAGAAGGTGCAATTTCGTAGAGACATGGACGCCATTGCTGCTTTAAGGAGATTCCTCCCCAATCCCTTTCACTTTACAGCCCATCTGGTCCCTGACTGCACCGGCAGCAGGGAATGTGCCAGAGGCTGTGGGGTTGTCATCCTAGCTTGGGCAGCAGGAGAAAAAGTTCAGTGGTTTGGATACTTACCTGTAGCACTCAAAAGTAGCTTGGGGCCAGGTGTTGAAATTGCATAGTGGAGGCCACTGGCCTCCCTGGCAGCCTGTGAGATGAGGGTGGACTTGAGGAGCAATGGTGTCCACAGTAACAAGGATTGGAAATCAGGGTATCAAGATCCCTGACCGCTCCCTCATATGGGCCCATGCCCTCAGAGGATGTTCACCAGCATCTGCCCACCCAGGTCTGGCAGGGTGTGGGACAGCTGGACCTTTAAATCCAGTCCCTTTCCCTCACCCTACCCACCCTGCCACCCTCAGGAGCACTTGTCAGGAGAGAGCAGTAGCACCTCCCCAAACGACTGGGGGAGGTGAGGCCTTAACAGCATTCAGGAGTCCCAGGTCTGGACCAGCTACTGAGAAGGCCTCCCTAGGCCCTGGCCCGGGCCCTTCACATAACTCAGATTACTGGATGCCACTACTCAAGCTCTCAGCAAAGACAGAGGAAGGTTCTTTATAGAGCCCTCCAAATAGTGAATGCCTTTTACCTTCCTTGGCTCATGTTAGGTTTACCATCCCTCTTTCCAAGTTGGAATTCCCACAGAGACACTTTCATCTCCCCCATACCCTCAGCTTGTTGTTAGTTGCCATCAAGTCTGTTCAACTCATAGCGAACATATGCACAGAACAAAATACTGCCTGGTCCTGTGCTATCCTCACAGTTGTTCTATTTGAGCCCATACTTTAAAGAAGTATTTTGAAGCAATTTGCCTAGTGCAATACATTGTTTGATTTCTTGAATACTGCTTCCATTGAGTGTTGATTGTCGATCCAAGCACATGAAGTCTTTGACAATTTCAATCTTTTCTCCATTTATCATGATGTTATTTATTGGTGCAGTTGTGAGGATTTTTGTCTTCTTTACACTGAAATACAGTGTATACTGAAGGCTGTAGTCTTTGATCTTCCCCAATAAGTATTTTAAGTCCTCTTCACTTCCAGTAAGCAAGGTTGTGTCATCTGCATATCGCAGGTTATTAATGAGTCTTCCTATAATTCCAATGCCATGTTCTTCATAAATTCCAGTCTCTCAAATTATTTGCTCAGCATAGATTGAACAAGTATGTTAAAAGGTTATAACCCTGACACACACCTTTCGTGATACTAAACCATTCAGTATTCTCTTGTTCTGTTTGAAGGACTGCCTTTTAGTCTATGTATAGGTTCCACATGAGCACAATTAAGTGTTTTGGAATACCTATTCTTCACAATGTTGACCATAGTTTGTTATGATCCACACAGTGAGTGCATTTGCATAGTCAATAAAGCACAATTGAACACCTTTCTGGTATTCTTTTAGTCAAGATCTATGATATCCGCAATGATATTCCTCAGCTTGGGGACAGTAAATACCTCATGGAATTATGAAGACTCAGTGACAGAATGTGTGTAAAATGGATACACCTTTGACCCAGGAATTTCACTTTTAGGTGTCTATCCTACAGATGCACTTGTACAATTGAGGAAAGATACATGTACACATACAAGGGTGTTTATTATTAAAGTATCCTCTGCAGTATCAAAAATCGGAAAATGGTTTGAATGGGTTAAAGGGGAGAAATAATGTTAAGATGCTTGGCTTTCTTTTGAATCTTAGCTTCCCTTGCATACCACTGTAGAATAGACACTGGAAGGGGAGAGAAAGGAATAGCCAGAAATATGACCAGAGAAAGCTTGTAAGTCCATCTTCTTCCTATAACTGTTTGGAATACCTAAAATGGGGCTACAATGTGCCTAGTGAAGGAGGCTTCTTGCAGAGCCTCTGCATTGCATAAGACCATAGGTGGAACCCTGAACCCCATCCAGAATCTTCTGAGATGGGAAATCTCCACTTGAAAGGACAAGCAGACCAGCCTAGAGTGGTTAGAAGAACGTTAAGAGAAAAAAAAAAAAAGAAGAAGAAGAACTTAAGATACTTCTTGAAAGAAAAAGAAAGACCGACAGGAAAAATAAAAAACAATAATGGCAGTCCAACTGACTACTATAAGAGCAAGCAAGTTTCTCGCCCAGGAGACATCAAGGCAAGTGGATGTCAGAAGAGACTCTGAAACTTGCTCTCCAACGTAGAGAAGCCAAAGCAAATGGAAAAATTGAAGAGGTGCAAGAGCTGAACAGAAAATTTCAAAGATCAGCTCGAGAAGATAA